CAATCATTACGGATTTATCAATTACATGTGACATACGACTGCTGCTACTACTACTATTACTATTTCTACTACTACTTCTATTATTAATAATAATAATAATAATAATAATAGTGACAGTCATTCGAGTTATTCTTGCATGGTGTACCCATGACAGCTGCGAGAGGCAGAAAGTGTCGTCACTGTCGTCAGATATAAACTCACAAGGTACACATGATTTTGTTTTACTTGAACAACGTTTCTCCCTCTGTGAATGGTAGAAAATACCGATAGGTATGTGACTAAGTCAATATGCTGTTTATGGTATTTTACTGAGAAAACGTCTCGTCCAATAGGGACTTCATCTATTGTCGAAATTATTCAAATATCTCAGTGGTAAAATGCCTTGTTGACAAACGTTTCGCTCTGTGTGGAGCTTTATCAAGTTGTTATACCTTAATAAAGCTTGATGCAGAGTGAAACGTAGTCCCAATTCAAGTCTGGGCTGGTGTGTGTGTGTGTGTGTGTGTACTCACCTGGTTGAGGTTGCGAGGGTCGAGTCCGAGCTCCTGGCCCCGCCTCTTCACTGATCGCTACTAGGTCACTCTCCCTGAGCCGTGAGCTTTATCATACCTCTGCTTAAAGCTATGTATGGATCCTGCCTCCACTACATCGCTTCCCAAACTATTCCACTTACTGACTACTCTGTGGCTGAAGAAATACTTCCTAACATCCCTGTGATTCATCTGTGTCTTCAGCTTCCAACTGTGTCCCCTTGTTACTGTGTCCAATCTCTGGAACATCCTGTCTTTGTCCACCTTGTCAATTCCTCTCAGTATTTTGTATGTAGTTATCATGTCCCTCCTATCTCTCCTGTCCTCCAGTGTCGTCAGGTTGATTTCCCTTAACCTCTCCTCGTAGGACATACCTCTTAGCTCTGGGACTAGTCTTGTTGCAAACCTTTGCACTTTCTCTAGTTTCTTCACGTGCTTGGCTAGGTGTGGGTTCCAAACTGGTGCCGCATACTCCAATATGGGCCTAACATACACGGTGTACAGGGTCCTGAATGATTCCTTATTAAGATGTCGGAATGCTGTTCTGAGGTTTGCTAGGCGCCCATATGCTGCAGCAGTTATTTGGTTGATGTGCGCTTCAGGAGATGTGCCTGGTGTTATACTCACCCCAAGATCTTTTTCCTTGAGTGAGGTTTGTAGTCTCTGACCCCCTAGACTGTACTCCGTCTGCGGCCTTCTTTGCCCTTCCCCAATCTTCATGACTTTGCACTTGGTGGGATTGAACTCCAGGAGCCAATTGCTGGACCAGGTCTGCAGCCTGTCCAGATCCCTTTGTAGTTCTGCCTGGTCTTCGATCGAGTGATTCTTCTCATCAAAATTCACGTCATCTGCAAACAGGGACACCTCAGAGTCTATTCCTTCCGTCATGTCGTTCACAAATACCAGAAACAGCACTGGCCTAGGACTGACCCCTGCGGGACCCCGCTGGTCACAGGTGCCCACTCTGACACCTCGCCACGTACCATGACTCGCTGCTGTCTTCCTGACAAGTATTCCTGATCCATTGTAGTGCCTTCCCTGTTATCCCTGCTTGGTCCTCCAGTTTTTGCACCAATCTCTTTGGTGGAATGTGTCAAACGCCTTCTTGCAGATCCAAGAAATGCAATCCACCCACCCCATCTTCTCATGTCTTACTGCTTGTCACCATGTCATAGAACTCCAGTAGGTTTGTGACACAGGATTTCCCGTCCCTGAAACCATGGTTGGGTGCGTTGATGAGATCATTCCTTTCGAGGTGTTCCACACTTTCTCCTGCTATCTTCTCCATGATTTTGCCTACTATACATGTCAGTGACATGGTCTGTAGTTTAATGCTTCATGTCTGTCTACTTTTTTAAAGGATTGGGATACATTTGTGTCTTCATGCCTCAGGCAATCTCCCTGTTTCGATAGATGTATTGAATATTGTTGTTAGGGGTACACATAAGCGCCTCTGCTCCCTCTCTCAATACCATTGGGGAGCTGTTATCTGGCCCATTGTCTGTGAGGTATTAGATCACTCAGAGCCTCTTCACTTCTTCTCGGTTGTGTGCACTGTGTCCAGACTTGGTGTGTGCCCCACCTCTCCGTCTTTCTGGAGTCCTTCTGTCTCCTCTGTGAAACACTTCTTTTTGAATCTCTTGTTGAGTTCTTCACATACTTCACGGTTCATTTCTTGTTGTCTAATCCTCCTTCCTTACTTAGCCCTGGATTTACCTGTTCCTTTTGACTGTGTATTTCCTCATGATGTGGCTGTACAACAGTTTCGGGTCAGGATTTGGCTTTCGCTGCTATGTCATTTTGATATTGTCTTTGGGCCTCCCTTTCTATCTGTGATATTACGTTTCTGGCTCTACGACTTGTTCTCCTTATTCTCCTGGGTCTTTGCCTTCTATATTTCTTCCATTCCTAGCACACTTGGTTTTTTGCCTCCCTGCACCTTTGGGTAAAACCATGGGCTATCCTGGCTTTTTCATTAATCCTGTTACCCTTGGTACTTACTCTCCTCGCCTCCTTTGCATTTTGTTTGCTACATATTCATCATCACATTAACTGGGGCTTACCCGCAAGTTTCTCTGTCCACTGAAACCCCGTTCAGGTGTCTCCTCATTCCGTGTAGTCCTTTCGGTAGTTTGGCTTCATTCGTCTGGGCCGTCATGCTTCTCCCTCCACTTGTAGCTATACTGGTATTCGAAAGCTTAAAACCACATGGTCACTGGCCCCTACGCGGGTCTTTCATCTGTGATGTCCTCGATATTGCATATGGTAGGTGAATACTAAGTCCAGCTTTGTGGTTCATCCTCTCCTCTCTCTCTTGTAGTGTTCCCTTACTGTGGCACATGTAGTTTTACCAGTACCACACTCCATCATCTTAGCCCTCCTTGTATCTTGGCCCCATGTGGGTCCAAGTTTCCCAATCGTTCTCCTTGTGGTTAAAGTCACCCATGATCGGAGCTTTGCCTGCATGCTTGTGCTCTTCTGGCCACTCTAGCAGTGTGACAACCATCTCTCTATTGCTCTCGTAGTTACTCTTGCCTCTTGGCCTCTGCTGTTTGTGGTGGGGTATACATCAATGCCTTTTTACCACCTTGGGACCTCCTGACGTGAAGTGTTCCCACTATGTAATACTTTATTCTCCGCTGTCTCCTCAGCTCATCAAAATGCCAGCGTTTTTTGATTCAGCAACGCCACTCTCCACCCCCTGTTCCTCTGTCTTTCCTCAGGATTTTGGTATCCCGTTGGTAAGAATCGGATCTGTTATCATACCTGTAAGCTTGGTTTCTGTGAGAGCTATGAGTGTCCGGTGATGCTTCTTTGACTCTTTTCATGCACTCCCTCCCAATTATTTGTTATTCCATCAGCGTTGGTGTACCATCAAACTTCAGTTTCCTTTTCCAACACTGTGGTTTGGGGGGCCTCGTGAGGGGGGGAGGGTATGGTGGCACATTTACTGTGGGATTCTATAGCCGGTGTTGGGTGGAGGTCTGTGGTATGGATTGTAGTGTGTGTTGGATGGTGTGATAGTTTGTATGGTTCTGAGAGTAGTTGTGTGTGTGCTTTGCCCTTGATGTTCTGTTCTGCTGATGACTGGACCTCTGTGGTTCCCACCTTGTTCTCTTTTCTAGCTCCTTTCGCTTTTTTGTGTCCTCTTCCTCAGCTGCTGTCGTTTGATTTTGTTCTGTCTCTGTCTAGGAACACCCACTTGCGTACTCTTACGAAGTATTTCATCGTGGTTTCTCTTGGAGGATCCTGTTCCGCCTGTCTTTCAGTCCTGAGACTCTGCTTGATTGGTCGGTTTCTCCCCTTCGAGTACCCCCTTTCTCTGAAAATTTACAAGTCGTCCATCTCTTCACCTATTTCCGTGTGATTTTCTCAATCTCTTTCTTTCTTCTGCTGCCTTTCAGGGTGTTGGCCTTTCCTCTCTCTCCTGAAAGCCCATGGAGATAAACACTGATTTTGCCCTTTCATACTCCCATTGCCCCTCTCCCTCTGTGACTCTGGATCCTGCCTGTATGTGGTCAGTTTCTCCCTTGATTTTTCCAGTGGCTCTTGATAGCCTTGTTGTGTGTGTGTGTGTGTGTGTGTGTGTGTGTGTGTGTGTGTCCAAGACTTCTTCAGCAGGAACACATGTATCCAAGACTGCTGCAACAGGAACACACGTGGTGTCCAAGACTGCTGCAGCAGTAATACCCGTGTGCATCAGTGTTGTAGCAGGAACACACAGGTCCGAAACACCGTGTGCTACATTCGGGTCATCAAAGGTGTCGCCTTAATGGTTCAGTGGTTCCCTGCTGCCAGGGCTCCTGTTTGTATATAGTTAGATTATTGTGGGGAACACGGGTTAATTTGCCTATTGTCACCAGCACGAGTTGCCGCCTGCCTGTGGGAGTTAAGAGGATTCCTGGGACGTGGAGCAGAGTGAGAGGGAGATGCAAGGGTAGAGGGAGAGTTTAATACCGGTCGTGGGAGGTGGAATTCAGTACAGGTCGTTGGAAGTGAAATACATTAGAGGTCGTGGGAGGTGGAATGCAGTAGAGGTCGTGGGAGGTGAAACATTAGAGGTAGTGGGGAATGGAAGGCAGTACAGGTGTAGGTGAGGTAGGAGGGAGCGAGAGAGTACAACTAAGGTTTAGGGAGATGAAAGGGAGAAGAAATAACAGTTTGCTGGCTGAGACTGAGGAGGAAATAGAGAACAGTGTTTGTTCAAGGAAATACAGCTGCAAGGAATGATGGAGTGAAGGAGTGAATGTGTCGTAGAGTGGAAAGGAAGATGTGTGTGTGTGTGTGTGTTGTGTGTGTGTGTGTGTTGTGTGTGTGTGTGTGTGTGTGTGTGTGTGTGTGTGTGTGTTTCATAAAAAAATCATGAATTACCATGTTATTACCCACTGTGTGTATGTTCGCCGTGGAACTCAGCATCCACTGCGTGTAATTATACGAATATTTATTGTGTTTTTCTGTGTATCCTTGTAGATCCGGGCCCACTGTGTGTACCCCTGCGGCTGTGGCACTGTGCCGGAGTGCGGACCAGGAGTTCCTCTGATACGGGACGGGTGTGACTGCTGCCTACAGTGTGCCAGACAGGCAGAGGAACCCTGTGACGGTGCCACTCTGTGCGATGCTTCAAAAAACCTCACGTGCGTCTACAACACCACCCAGGACCTCACGGGTATCTGTCAAGGTGAGTCCTGTGTTTACGTACCAAATATCACCTCACTGGTACCTGTCAAGGTGATCCTTGTGTGCTTATTCCACGCTCCATCTCTGTCAAGGTGAGTTCTGTGTTTACGTACCAAATATCACCTCACTGGTACCTGTCAAGGTGATCCTTGTGTGCTTATTCCACACGCCACCTCTGTCAAGGTGAGTCCTGTGTTTACGTACCAAATATCACCTCACTGGTACCTGTCAAGGTGATCCTTGTGTGCTTATTCCCACGCTCATCTCTGTCAAGGTGAGTTCTGTGTTTACGTACCAAATATCACCTCACTGGTACCTGTCAAGGTGATCCTTGTGTGCTTATTCCACACGCTACCTCTGTCAAGGTGAGTCCTGTGTTTACGTACCAAATATCACCTCACTGGTACCTGTCAAGGTGATCCTTGTGTGCTTATTCCACGCTCCATCTCTGTCAAGGTGAGTCCTGTGTTTACGTACCAAATATCACCTCACTGGTACCAGTCAAGGTGATCCTTGTGTGCTTATTCCACGCGCCACCTCTGTCAAGGTGAGTCCTGTGTCTTCATGGGAGACACAACTGAACAGGGGTAGTAAGTTGACCTTTGTTTTATAAAACGTAGTTTTCGAAAGCTTTATCATGATAAACCTCTTATTGAGCGAGTCCCCATTTGTTTTAGTGTTGTCTTGTTCTGTCTACATGTCTCTGAGGCTTGTTCTGTCTTCATGTCTCTGAGGCTTGTTCTGTCTACATGTCTCTGAGGCTTGTTCTGTCTACATGTCTCTGAGGCTTGTTCTGTCTACATGTCTCTGAGGCTTGTTCTGTCTACATGTCTCTGAGGCTTGTTCTGTCTACATGTCTCTGAGGCTTGTTCTGTCTACATGTCTCTGAGGCTTGTTCTGTCTACATGTCTCTGAGGCTTGTTCTGTCTACATGTCTCTGAGGCTTGTTCTGTCTTCATGTCTCTGAGGCTTGTTCTGTCTACATGTCTCTGAGGCTTGTTCTGTCTTCATGTCTCTGAGGCTTGTTCTGTCTTCATGTCTCTGAGGCTTGTTCTGTCTACATGTCTCTGAGGCTTGTTCTGTCTTCATGTCTCTGAGGCTTGTTCTGTCTACATGTCTCTGAGGCTTGTTCTGTCTTCATGTCTCTGAGGCTTGTTCTGTCTACATGTCTCTGAGGCTTGTTCTGTCTTCATGTCTCTGAGGCTTGTTCTGTCTACATGTCTCTGAGGCTTGTTCTGTCTTCATGTCTCTGAGGCTTGTTCTGTCTACATGTCTCTGAGGCTTGTTCTGTCTACATGTCTCTGAGGCTTGTTCTGTCTACATGTCTCTGAGGCTTGTTCTGTCTACATGTCTCTGAGGCTTGTTCTGTCTACATGTCTCTGAGGCTTGTTCTGTCTACATGTCTCTGAGGCTTGTTCTGTCTACATGTCTCTGAGGCTTGTTCTGTCAACATGTCTCTGAGGCTTGTTCTGTCTTCATGTCTCTGAGGCTTGTTCTGTCTACATGTCTCTGAGGCTTGTTCTGTCTACATGTCTCTGAGGCTTGTTCTGTCTACATGTCTCTGAGGCTTGTTCTGTCTACATGTCTCTGAGGCTTGTTCTGTCTACATGTCTCTGAGGCTTGTTCTGTTACATGTCTCTGAGGCTTGTTCTGTCTACATGTCTCTGAGGCTTGTTCTGTCTACATGTCTCTGAGGCTCGTTCTGTCTACATGTCTCTGAGGCTTGTTCTGTCTACATGTCTCTGAGGCTTGTTCTGTCTTCATGTCTCTGAGGCTTGTTCTGTCTACATGTCTCTGAGGCTTGTTCTGTCTACATGTCTCTGAGGCTTGTTCTGTCTTCATGTCTCTGAGGCTTGTTCTGTCTACATGTCTCTGAGGCTTGTTCTGTCTACATGTCTCTGAGGCTTGTTCTGTCTACATGTCTCTGAGGCTTGTTCTGTCTTCATGTCTCTGAGGCTTGTTCTGTCTACATGTCTCTGAGGCTTGTTCTGTCTACATGTCTCTGAGGCTTGTTCTGTCTTCATGTCTCTGAGGCTTGTTCTGTCTTCATGTCTCTGAGGCTTGTTCTGTCTACATGTCTCTGAGGCTTGTTCTGTCTACATGTCTCTGAGGCTTGTTCTGTCTACATGTCTCTGAGGCTTGTTCTGTCTACATGTCTCTGAGGCTTGTTCTGTCTACATGTCTCTGAGGCTTGTTCTGTCTACATGTCTCTGAGGCTTGTTCTGTCTACATGTCTCTGAGGCTTGTTCTGTCTACATGTCTCTGAGGCTTGTTCTGTCTACATGTCTCTGAGGCTTGTTCTGTCTACATGTCTCTGAGGCTTGTTCTGTCTACATGTCTCTGAGGCTTGTTCTGTCTTCATGTCTTGAGGCTTGTTCTGTCTACATGTCTCTGAGGCTTGTTCTGTCTACATGTCTCTGAGGCTTGTTCTGTCTACATGTCTCTGAGGCTTGTTCTGTCTTCATGTCTCTGAGGCTTGTTCTGTCTACATGTCTCTGAGGCTTGTTCTGTCTACATGTCTCTGAGGCTTGTTCTGTCTACATGTCTCTGAGGCTTGTTCTGTCTACATGTCTCTGAGGCTTGTTCTGTCTACATGTCTCTGAGGCTTGTTCTATCTTCAAGTCTCTGAGGCTTGTTCTGTCTACATGTCTCTGAGGCTTGTTCTGTCTACATGTCTCTGAGGCTTGTTTTGTCTTCATGTCTCTGAGGCTTGTTCTGTCTACATGTCTCTGAGGCTTGTTCTGTCTACATGTCTCTGAGGCTTGTTCTGTTTTCATGTCTCTGAGGCTTTTTCTGTCTACATGTCTCTGAGGCTTGTTCTGTCTACATGTCTCTGAGGCTTGTTCTGTCTACATGTCTCTGAGGCTTGTTCTGTCTACATGTCTCTGAGGCTTGTTCTGTCTTCATGTCTCTGAGGCTTGTTCTGTCTACATGTCTCTGAGGCTTGTTCTGTCTACATGTCTCTGAGGCTTGTTCTGTCTACATGTCTCTGAGGCTTGTTCTGTCTACATGTCTCTGAGGCTTGTTCTGTCTACATGTCTCTGAGGCTTGTTCTGTCTACATGTCTCTGAGGCTTGTTCTGTCTACATGTCTCTGAGGCTTGTTCTATCTTCAAGTCTCTGAGGCTTGTTCTGTCTACATGTCTCTGAGGCTTGTTCTGTCTACATGTCTCTGAGGCTTGTTCTGTCTTCATGTCTCTGAGGCTTGTTCTGTCTACATGTCTCTGAGGCTTGTTCTGTCTTCATGTCTCTGAGGCTTGTTCTGTCTACATGTCTCTGAGACTTGTTCTGTCTACATGTCTCTGAGGCTTGTTCTGTCTACATGTCTCTGAGGCTTGTTCTGTCTTCATGTTTCTGAGGCTTGTTCTGTCTTCATGTCTCTGAGGCTTGTTCTGTCTACATGTCTCTGAGGCTTGTTCTGTCTTCATGTCTCTGAGGCTTGTTCTGTCTACATGTCTCTGAGGCTTGTTCTGTCTTCATGTCTCTGAGGCTTGTTCTGTCTTCATGTCTCTGAGGCTTGTTCTGTCTACATTGTCTCTGAGGCTTTGTTCTGTTCTACATGTCTCTGAGGCTTGTTCTGTCTTCATGTCTCTGAGGCTTGTTCTGTCTACATGTCTCTGAGGCTTGTTCTGTCTACATGTCTCTGAGGCTTGTTCTGTCTACATGTCTCTGAGGCTTGTTCTGTCTACATGTCTCTGAGGCTTGTTCTGTCTACATGTCTCTGAGGCTTGTTCTGTCTACATGTCTCTTGAGGCTTGTTCTGTCTACATGTCTCTGAGGCTTGTTCTGTCTACATGTCTCTGAGGCTTGTTCTGTCTACATGTCTCTGAGGCTTGTTCTGTCTTCATGTCTCTGAGGCTTGTTCTGTCTTCATGTCTCTGAGGCTTGTTCTGTCTACATGTCTCTCTGAGGCTTGTTCTGTCTACATGTCTCTGAGGCTTGTTCTGTCTACATGTCTCTGAGGCTTGTTCTGTCTACATGTCTCTGAGGCTTGTTCTGTCTACATGTCTCTGAGGCTTGTTCTGTCTTCATGTCTCTGAGGCTTGTTCTGTCTACATGTCTCTGAGGCTTGTTCTGTCTACATGTCTCTGAGGCTTGTTCTGTCTACATGTCTCTGAGGCTTGTTCTGTCTACATGTCTCTGAGGCTTGTTCTGTCTACATGTCTCTGAGGTTTGTTCTGTCTACATGTCTCTGAGGCTTGTTCTGTCTACATGTCTCTGAGGCTTGTTCTGTCTACATGTCTCTGAGGCTTGTTCGGTCTACATGTCTCTGAGGCTTGTTCTGTCTTCATGTCTCTGAGGCTTGTTCTGTCTACATGTCTCTGAGGCTTGTTCTGTCTACATGTCTCTGAGGCTTGTTCTGTCTTCATGTCTCTGAGGCTTGTTCTGTCTACATGTCTCTGAGGCTTGTTCTGTCTACATGTCTGTGAGGCTTGTTCTGTCTACATGTCTCTGAGGCTTGTTCTGTCTACATGTCTCTGAGGCTTGTTCTGTCTACATGTCTCTGAGGCTTGTTCTGTCTACATGTCTCTGAGGCTTGTTCTGTCTACATGTCTCTGAGGCTTGTTCTGTCTACATGTCTCTGAGGCTTGTTCTGTCTACATGTCTCTGAGGCTTGTTCTGTCTACATGTCTCTGAGGCTTGTTCTGTCTACATGTCTCTGAGGCTTGTTCTGTCTTCATGTCTCTGAGGCTTGTTCTGTCTACATGTCTCTGAGGCTTGTTCTGTCTTCATGTCTCTGAGGCTTGTTTCTGTCTTCATGTCTCTGAGGCTTGTTCTGTCTACATGTCTCTGAGGCTTGTTCTGTCTACATGTCTCTGAGGCTTGTTCTGTCTTCATGTCTCTGAGGCTTGTTCTGTCTACATGTCTCTGAGGCTTGTTCTGTCTACATGTCTCTGAGGCTTGTTCTGTCTACATGTCTCTGAGGCTTGTTCTGTCTACATGTCTCTGAGGCTTGTTCTGTCTACATGTCTCTGAGGCTTGTTCTGTCTACATGTCTCTG